GTTCAGGTATGCACCTGTAACATGTTCTTACTAATTGTGTTTTTATTTATTGTTCATCATATTCATACTAATTTTAAAACACTATTGTAGGAACTAAAACATAAGCTGCACGCTACAAAAGCTGGAATGCAGTTTATGCAAGTGAAATTTAATGAAGAGTTCCACAACCTCGGTAGGATTAACACAAATTTCATTGGGGAGTAAGATAGCTTTTTATCTCATTTCTTAATTTTGGCTTCTTGATTTTATGGTAGGTATGCATGTTCATAGTCTTGCTCATGCTGCATCTGGATATCATAAAGTTCTTGAAGACAACCGTAAGCTATACAATCAAGTGCAGGATCTCAAGGGTAATTTAGATCACTGGTCATATATAACTGAGTTTTCTGTGAATTTTCTGTTGAAGATTATAAGTATTTCGGTCTTTGTAATGACCAGGTAGCATAAGAGTTTACTGCCGAGTTAGACCCTTTTTGTCTGGTCAAGCAAATGGTTTGAGTGTCGTTGATCACATAGAAGATGGAAATATTACTGTTAACGCCCCCTCAAAACATGGGAAGGGACAGAGATCTTTTGGCTTCAACAAAGTATTTGGTCCATCTGCTACACAAGGTTGATACAATTCAACTTTAAATGCGTATACATTTTCGAATACATAATTTGACAATTTGTTCTCATTCTATTGCAGTGGAGGTCTTCGCCGATATGCAGCCACTCGTTCGGTCTGTTCTTGATGGATACAATGTTTGCATTTTTGCATATGGACAAACAGGGTCAGGGAAAACTTTTACTATGGTATGTATTAAGCACTTAAACTTTACATCTTAAAAGCAAGAGCGTGTGAAATTCAGATATGTGCTAAGTTCTTTCATTATCACATGTCTAGACTGGGCCAAAAGAGCTAACAGAGAAGAGCCAAGGAGTAAATTATAGAGCATTGGGAGATTTGTTCCTTATAGCAGATCAAAGAAAGGAGACATATCGATATGATGTTTCTGTTCAGATGATCGAGATATATAACGAGCAAGTCCGGGATCTCCTTGTCACTGATGGAACTAATAAAAGATATCCTTCTAGTTCTTCTTATTTATCCTTATGTTTGTAGTCTGTTCATGAAACGCTTTCCTTGACTATTTTTACATTAGAAATTCGCAATAGTTCTCAAAATGGACTCAGTGTACCAGATGCTAACCTCGTAAGCGTGTCGTCGACGTTGGATATCATTAATCTAATGAACCTTGGCCATAGGAATCGTGTCGTAGGTGCGACAGCTCTAAACGACCGTAGTAGCCGTTCCCATAGGTAAAAACAATCCATATATCTTGTGGTGTGGTGTTCAGAATGTGTATGGCTTGATCAGGCACCAGGCTAACTTCATGAATCATCTTGTAGTTGTCTGACGGTTCATGTTCAAGGAAGAGATTTGACATCTGGAGCCATTCTCCGTGGCTGTATGCATCTTGTAGATTTGGCCGGGAGTGAGAGAGTTGATAAGTCTGAGGTGACTGGAGATAGACTGAAAGAGGCACAGCATATCAATAAGTCTCTTTCTGCTCTTGGTGATGTGATTGCTTCTCTTGCACAGAAGAATCCCCACGTCCCTTACAGAAATAGCAAATTAACACAACTCCTTCAAGATTCACTTGGTAAGATGAAAGTATACCAACTATTGCTACATGTGAGATCCCACGTCGATTGGGGAGGAGAACGAAACATCCTTTATAAGGGTGTGGAAACCTTTCTCTAGCAGACGCGTTTTAAAAACCTTGAGGGGAAGCCCGAAAGGGAAAGCCCATAGAAGATAATATCTACTAATGGTGTGTTTGGGCCGTTACATTATCGGTTCACATGCCAGATTAATTAACAATTTGAACTTCATCCGTAACTTTTTAGGTGGTCAAGCCAAGACGTTGATGTTTGTTCACATTAGTCCAGAACCTGATGCTATTGGAGAGACATTAAGCACGCTTAAATTTGCAGAGAGGGTTGCCACAGTCGAACTTGGTGCTGCTCGAGTGAACAAAGACACTTCAGATGTTAAAGAACTCAAAGAGCAGGTTTTGACATTTGATATCATTTAATCTCAAGCCATGTTCATACAAGCTTTTGTTAGTATACTCATCATGCAAAGACTTAACTTCATGTCAGATTGCAAGTTTAAAGGCAGCACTTGCAAGGAAAGAGGGGGCACAACAACATGCTCAACATTCTGCTTCTGGGAATGAAAAATTCAAGACAAAAGCAAGTGAGTTATCACCATTCCGGCCTAAGAGTCAGGATGTAGATGTGTTGGTTGAACACGCCATCCGCCGTCAGCCTATGGGCGATGTAGGCAACATAGAGGTATTTTTTTTTTCTTTTTCCTTATTGAATGAGGCATATGCTCATATGATCTTTTCTTCAAGATTGTTTGTTTGCTGATGATATGTTGAAGATCACTTGATACTCTTTTATTTCTCTCAATATAAACTTAGAGATCTGTTACCAATGAGCCACTTACTAGCCAAAACCTTAGGTTTATGGAATCTACAAGTGAAAAAAAAAGTAATATACGTTAAGAATCACTAACCTCCCCCAACCTCCAACCTCCTCCAAGTATAATATTGTCTACTTTGAGCGTAAGCTATCAACTTTTCTTTTGATTTCTCAAAAAGGCCTCGTACCAATGAAGATGTATTCCTTACTTATATAACTCATGATATCTCCTTAATTAGCCGATGTGGGACTCTCCACTAACAATTCTCCCATCGAACAAAATACCGTAGACCCTCTCTTGAGACCTATGGAGCCTTTGAACAACCTCCCTCTAATTAAACCTCGACTCCTTTCTCTAGAATCCTTGAACAAAGTACACCCTTGTTCGACACTTGAGTCACTTTTTTACCACACCTTCTAGGATCACAACTTTTTTGTTCGACATTTGAGTGACATAGTTAAGTTAAGGACATGGCTCTGATACCATATTAGGAATCATGAACCTCTATAATGGTACGACATTGTCCACTTTAAACATAAGCTCTTATAGCTTTGCTTTTGGTTTTCCCCACAAGGCCTTATATCAATGGATATGTATTCCTTACGGGGACGAGAGATATGAGAAATGAAGGATGGTGTTCAGTATTGGTGGCTGTGAATCCAAACTTGGATGATTTTTTACCTCTTAACTCTTTCAAAAGTCTCTTTCCCCAGCAAAATTGTCCATGTATTATATTTGGTTTTACACTACACTAACATGAAGTTTCACCTCAATATCAATGCTACAGCTTCATAACAATTCTGCGTTGAGACAGAAGAGGCAGAGTTTTGACATGGATGAGCTGTTGGCCAATTCACCTCCTTGGCCACCAGTCAGTAGCCCTTGCCTGAACTACAGGGAGGACGATAAAGACACGGCTTCAGGCGGGTGGGTTGACAAGGTAATGGTGAACAAGCAAGACGTAAACCGAATCGAGAATCCATTGGGGGGAGGCTGGGAAGCAGAAAATGGTCACTTAAATGATGACTTCCACCAAAAATATCTCCAGGACTCCTCCAAACTATATACAGAACAAGGTTTCAGTATGTTAACTGGAGCTAACCGATTCAACATGGTTGGCATCGATGATATAGACGATATCGACGCTGGAACAAGCGACTCGTCCGAGCCAGACTTGCTTTGGCAATTTAACCATTCTAAGCTTACCAGTATAGGCAGTGGAATCGGATTAAAAACGAAGAAACCGAATGGTGGAAAGGCAGTAAAGAGCCCAGAATTAAGGTAATAGTAGCTACTAAACTAGCTTATATATACTTCATCTCTTGAATATTATGACTTAACTTTGATGGAATTGTGCAGCAGGAACTTGAGTTCTTCAATGGGTCCTTCTCCTTCACAGAAGATATCAAATGGGGTTGGCGTCCTCCCAGTGAACAGAAATGGGAGACAACCTGCTTCTGCTGAAAACAAACGCAGAACTGGAAATAGAAAACAGTAATTCTTTTTTTTTTTATTCTTTAACAAAACGTGAGGGAGTGTTGATTTCCTTTTTGAGTTTCTTCTTATTATGTTATTGCCATGTTGAAAAGAGAGAAAGGTGTTTTTACATGTCTTTCCACATATTCCCCCTTTTTTAATTGCTGTAATTAATTATTGTAATAGTGAAAAGAAGCAATAATTTCAGTTGCTTTTGTATTGGTTTATTTTCTGGGGATTTTTAATGACACAAACTGTATTAACAAGCTCCACAGTGTCTTTCTGCTACTGTTCTTTGCCTTTAAATTTAATATAATTGTCGTCATAACCTACCAATATACCTAAATCCTTGTCTTGCCTGGTTCGGTTGGTGTTTTATACGGATAATATTATCGATATGATTGATTTATTAAAGATATCATGTACACTAAACTTATGAACTATGAAATATTTAATATCTCTTTATAAATCTATTAATTGAAAAGGTTAATATTTCATTAGGTAATCATATGTGACCCGATCTTAATCACGAGTGAATTATGAACTGCTACGATACGCATTCTTTGATTTGCATGGGTGAGAATGTCTTTTGTCTTTTGTAGTTGATTCAAGTCGATTTAACTAAATAAAGAGATATGAAAATATTTTAACTCGATAGAATTCACTCATTTCCATAATAAAGGTAAAACCAACTGAAGTCATTTTAACATTTGGGGTGCGAATGAAAGTAGTCTCTTCCCCCGTAAACACACCATATAAACTACAACTATTTAATATAGTTGGCAAGACTTGGAAGCTGGCTACCCGTGCCTATTGACGAGGACTAGGCTTGGCTTGATTAGTAGCACCCGTCTCCTTACCCTGGAGGCTCGTCGGCCCGTGAATACTTCATGATAAGCTCAATTGTTAGATTCATTTAGGCATAATTCACTAAATAAATAAAAATAAAATAAAGGAGGAGAAAAAAAAAACTTTGAGCTGATGTTTTGCTGGGCCGTCTAAATTGGGCCATCTCAGGTAGGCGCAGACATGAAAGCCACTTCCACTTTTACTTCCTCTGATGAAGTTCGTCAACATAAATCGCCGTAATCTCTCACAACACCTCCGAAGCTCTGACGTCACCTGCCATTTCTCCGGCGCCTTATTTCCGTCCATTCCTCAGTTCTAGGATTCCACATTCCGAAGCTCCGCTGTTAGTTTCCTCTCCTACTCGCAAGATCACTCTCTCATTTTTCTTTCCCCAAACTGATTTTCGCTTTTAGCTCAAAAGAATGGCGGCCCTGTATGTTTTGTCCCGGCGATCTTCGCCTTCGCACCTGTTTGGAATGGCGCGTTATGCTACTACATCATTGAGATCTTACTCCACGTCTTTTCGCGAGGAAAGGGATACGTTTGGGCCTATCAACGTTCCATCCGATAGGTTCGCTCTCTCGTTCATCTGGTTTTTGGATTTGATGAACTAATAGCTGATTTGCGTTCCATTTTTGCGAAGGAAATTGTGTTTTGTGAATCGTAATGAGTTTTTATGAACGGTGTTGTTGTATTTTAGATTATGGGGAGCTCAAACGCAGAGATCATTGCAGAACTTTGAGATCGGAGGAGACCGTGAGCGAATGCCTGAACCTATAATTCGCGCCTTTGGCGTCCTTAAAAAGTGTGCTGCCAAGGTCCATTCATATCCAAATTAAGTATAATGTGATGTTTGATTCTTTGTGCTATAGTTCGTGTTTTGCAACGGAGATAAACATGGAATATGGTTTTGGAAATGGTTTCTATTGTTCATCGTGAGTCTGTTTTTTCAGGTAAACATGGAGTACGGTCTTGATCCAACCATTGGGAAAGCCATAATGCAAGCAGCCCAAGAAGTAGCTGAGGGAAAGTTGAATGATCATTTTCCACTAGTTGTATGGCAAACTGGAAGTGGCACTCAGAGTAACATGAATGCGAATGAGGTTAGAAAAACTATGTTTGAATTTTGATTGTGAGTTGTTGAGAGCGAAGGATTATTTAAGATAGTATTGCAAACGTACGTACCTATGTCGCATATTTTATGATTTTGCATGAATCATTTTCTCTGGAGAAATTATTCAGTCATATTGGAGGAAAGAAAGTCCAAAAGTACTTCAGTTATTAGGGAACATATAAAATTTCAAATTTACATCCAATGGTTATTAGGAAACAACAAAATTGTGGCGATCGCATCGATAATTTTTCCTTTCTTTTTGATCGGATCTGGTTACCATCGAAATTCTCAAAGGAAGCATGAAAGGCTATGTCACCCTTCTATGTTGTGTCTGTGTACTTATTGACGGTAGGACGGCAGGCATGATGACACATAATACTGAATCCCCTATTATACCACACTCCCGAGGGAAAGATTTGTTTCTCTTGGGTAGTTAGCTTCAGTCGTTAGATATTCTTGAATCTATGGCGATGGTCAGATTTAATTTGCCCCTGAACTCCATAGCTAAAATTCATAGCATTTACTAGAAGTAGGCAGCTCCAAACTAATAGTTATCATGGTTGAATTTAGGATGTTGTAATGGGACAACAGGTCGTCCCCCCTCCCTTTCCTTCGTTGAGTCAAATTCATGCATTTCTAAAGTATAGTCTCTTGTAAAAAGAAATCCTCGTGGATCAATAAATATATATTCCTTCAGTAATATTTGAAATGTCCCATATGAAGTGCAGAACAGAGGGTAATCTGTTAAGCAATCTTCTTCAAATGTCTCTTAAGCAATTTTGTAAGTGGATAACTTGAATGGTAGAAAATGCGAACCTCTACTCTACAATTAGTGAACATCTTACTTTTGTGGCAGGTCATTGCTAACAGGGCATCTGAGATCCTTGGTCATAAACGTGGCGAGAAGTTTGTTCACCCAAATGACCATGTTAATCGGTCCCAATCTTCTAATGATACATTCCCAACTGTAATCTTTTTTCTTTACCAAGTTATTTTTGTCTATGCTATTCTAACTCCGTTTCTATAATTAGTCAATAAACTCTAGCAGTTTTCCATGGCTCGGCTTCTTTTTTCAATTGTAATTTTAATAGTCATACTTTATGCCTTTATTACTTTGACCATGTTACAACTACTTTTATTGTCTCAATTCAGATTTTTTTTTTCTCCACACTTCTGATTTCTACCGTTTTCTTTTCACAGGTAATGCACATAGCAGCTGCAACAGAAATTAATTCCAAATTCATACCAAAATTGAAAACTTTACATTCGTCACTAAACTCAAAGGTTTGATGTTTAGGAGAGCTATGCTGCTGAGATTTCAATTTTATTGTTTGCATCATTACATACTGCAGATGATCCAAGCCTAATTTATTTGCACAAGTCTCTTTGAGTCGTAAGGTTAGGTTATACTTGTTTGATTGCATGGACTAAGCTGAATGTGTAAAAATGGTAAAAAATTAGATCATAACATGGTTTGGATCTGACTGTACCATCCTGGGGGTAGCCCGTTTCAATTGAGTTGTGTGGTAATAATGTATGTGTTTATTTACACTCCAAACTCCTACCTTGCAGTCTATTTTCCCTTCGCACTTTCATAAGTTTGTAACTCCTTGTATTACTCTGGTATGATTCCAACAGTCCATAGAATTCAAAGATATTGTTAAGATTGGACGCACTCACACTCAAGATGCCACACCATTGACTCTTGGGCAAGAGTTTAGTGGCTATACCACACAAGTACGCCTTCTTTCTCTTTGTTCTTGTGGAAGTTTCGGTTTCTTATGTCTATTGAAAAGAAGAAAGCATATGAATAATTTTCTGATTGGTGTGCACCTGAACTGCAGGTGAAGTATGGCATTGATAGAGTCTTGCGCACTCTACCTCGAATGTATCAGGTTGCAACAAGTGAAATATTTCCAGATATTTTGTTGGTTCTTTTGTCCATTTTTGTTCTGACACTTTGAATTCCATTTGTGCAGCTTGCCCAAGGTGGAACTGCTGTCGGAACTGGATTGAACACAAAGAAAGGGTATATTCTTTTTGAATTAGTTTGAATAAGAAAAAACTATCTAGTTTTCAGGTGTTGTGCTAGAAGATCAGAAGGATGAACGTATTTCTTATTTTGAGATTGCTATTGTCTATTGTTCAGATTTGATGTGAAAATAGCTGCAGCAGTAGCTGAAGAAACAAATTTTCCGTTTTTGACAGCCGAAAACAAGTTTGAAGCCTTGGTTAGTCGTTGAATGAGCTTCATCTCCTTTTATTTTTTATTCCACAATTTGGTGGTGCTTTCCTTCACACGTGGAACCACGTTTTTATGCTAAAACTTTTTGTTTCTTACCAGGCTGCACATGATGCCTTCGTTGAAACTAGTGGGGCTCTTAACACAGTTGCTACTTCTTTGATGAAGATTGCCAATGACATACGCCTTTTGGGAAGGTTATGCATTAGTTTTGTCAATCTTGTCTCTTTGTTACTTATTGTTTTTCTCTGTCTAATATTTTCCCCTTCATTTCACGTATACAGTGGTCCACGTTGTGGTCTTGGTGAACTTATTCTTCCCGAGAATGAGCCAGGCAGTAGTATCATGCCAGTTAACCTCTCTCTCTCTCTCTCTCTCTCTCTCTCTCTCTCTCTCTTTTTTGGTGGCATGTGCATGACCTAAACAATTTGTGTCGTTTCAGGGGAAGGTGAACCCTACTCAATGCGAGGCTCTCACTATGGTCTGTGCTCAGGTGAGTAATGTCTAGCATATTTATGGGTGCTGAAAGAGGAATTAGTTAGTATAGATTGTCAACTAGTTATGTTTGCTACCTTTTGTTCCCCAAAAAATTTTGGTCAATCATTCCATATATCTACCGCCAACGCATACTCAGATTCTCAGTAATTAGTCTATATGTATTATATTGTCATTCTAGAACTTAAAAGATGATATGACATTCTTGATTTTACAGGTGATGGGAAACCATGTGGCAATAACTGTTGGTGGGTCAAATGGTCACTTTGAACTTAATGTATTTAAGCCAATGATAGCCAATGCTCTATTGCACGTAAGTTCTATTATTATCTCTTGACTGTTAGTACGTCTAGAGATTATTTTCAAATAATGATATCAGAAACTAAATTGTTTTCTGGTTGGTGCACCAACTGCTATGAGATTGTCGATGTGCTTATGGTCTTTAAATGACAGATGTGTGTTTATATAATATATAAATATACGTTTACTATATACATGCACATGAACATACATACACACACACATAGAAATTCTGGATTCACCGAATCTCAACTCCAATGCTGGCTCTTCATTGGCAGTCATTGAGATTATTAGGGGATGCTTCTGCTTCATTCGAGAAGAACTGTGTGAGGGGAATTCAAGCTAACAGGGAAAGAATTTCGAAGTTACTCCACGAGGTTAGTTTTATATTAATATTTGAAAAATACTGTTATACTACACTGTTTGCACAGAAGATTTTGGTTGATGATTTTTGTGGTTATCTATGCGCGTAAATTCGATGACCTGCAGTCACTGATGCTCGTCACAGCTTTAAATCCCGTAAGTGTTCATCAACTAGAAAGCTCTCACTTTCCTTAAGCTTGATACATTGTTTGATAATATGTCATTGGCATATTGCCTACAGAAAATTGGTTACGACAATGCTGCTGCAGTTGCAAAGACAGCCCACAAGGAAGGATCCACTTTGAAGGTATGAATTGTATTTATATTTAGGTTTAAATCTTATTCTTTGAATTTTTATGTCAATTCTGTCCGTCATTAAATTTAAGTAGTTGGTTTAACTTATAATCGCCCTGAGTTGACCTAATGGTCAATAACGACCGTAAATTGTTAAAAGCTGAGGTAGAATAATAAGTTCATGTCATCATGGTGGTCACTGACTATAGAATATAATGTTTTAGCAAGTTAGCTTGGCAGCCATGCTCTGTGAAAATAGTCGAGATGCAGGATTGCTAATCCAAACATTCACGAATATGAGAAAAAAAATCATTGAACTTAACATGAGATAGATAAATAAAATGTCTGCATGTTTTGAAGTCAAATGTGGGTGGTAGGTTAGGTATCAGGTCTTCAAACATATTTAGATTCTGGTTAAATGATTAAAGAAACATTAACGAGGTTCAAAATAGTTTTTTATTGTTAATTTAGAAATGGAAACAAATCATTAGAAAGTTGAAAAGGACTAAAACTAGAACATTTGAAAATTTGGGATTCAAACATAAATTTTAAGGACTTCATATTTGATTTCGAGGGTTGTTTTTGTATGATTATGCAGGAAGCTGCACTGAAGCTCGGAGTTTTAAGCGAGGAAGATTTTAATAAATATGTGGTGCCTGAGAAAATGATTGGTCCATCTGATTAGTAAAGCTAAATAGCCCTTCTGTGTTTGGATCATTGTTTCATCAAAATCATTTTTACACTCTCATTCTTCTCCATAAAGGAAAAAGAATGCCCATTTTTATGAGGATTGAAGTGGTTAATAAAGGCACCACAGAGAAGATCTCAGGTTGTGCTTTGTATGTTCGGCGGAAATTGTGGTCATTCCTCTTTCAAAATATTGTCCAGAAATTTTCTCAAGGAAAAATAGTTAATAATTTATTTTGGGGACATTGGTTCTTGTGTACGTCCATTATGGAATCTCGTTGAGATTTTTTCTCATTTGAAAGGGAAAAATGACATTATTAATCAATAGGCCGTTTGAGCCCAACTTATTTGTTGTCATCTTATAGTGCAAGGTAGTTATTAAACGTCAGTGTTTTCTTTAAAAATCATCATTGAGTGCCAATTTTACTGTGGATATCTAAAATGTAATTACGACTCTACTAAGAGGAGCACTAGTTTATCTTATCAAATGAACGTTTCAGAATGTAAACTGATGTATATATATATACATACATACAAATATATAATTGTAAAATGTGCATAGCTCCACTGAGGACAAACAAGTTATTGACAACTGAACAAAGATTTGAATGAGCAAGACAGAGTTGCAGGGAGTGGAGGACAAGTTGGTCTCTTTGATCCTGCTGGATGGAGAATACATATAGCAAGGAGCCATTGAAAACAATGACAACCCATGTTGGCTGATTACACAGTTCCAAGTTAAAGCTAGGAATGATAATATCTTTATGTATGGGTGGACACATACGTACATGTATACAAATGGACGTAGGGGGAATTTTCAGTTGCCACGGCCAATGTACTTGGACCTACCTCCACGGATAAAAAAATTAGAACATCTCTAGAAGGGCAGAAACCTGCAAAATGATGCTCATCAACGACTAAACCTGGAAAGTGTATCAGGTTTTTATCATCAAAATGTTGGACCTATGACGAGCAGAGAAATTTTCCTCAGACACCCATGTTATACAAGTGGGGTCCCCATTTTAACAATTCATTTGTTCTTTCCATCATAGAAGATCATGCTCAAGAAGCCAATTTGGACGAGAATTATTAGCAAAAACAACGGATAAAGAGCAGTAAGCGCAGTGCAGTGCTCGGGGATTCACAAATTGTTCCTTTTCTCTACCGGCAAAACCTAGGCCCTCAAAACAAACCAATCGATGATTGAAGTTTCAAAGGTCCCAAGTATTTAATGGATGCAATTCAGACATAAGATATTTTTCACACGGAAAAACTTATATGTAAAAAAGGGTCCAACAAGGCTTGTGAGAATCAAGCAATTTATAGAATAAAAAGAACCCAAAGATGGAACGATTGATAAATTAGAAAAATTATAGATGTAAATCTCTATTCGTCTGGGATTTTGATAACAAGGAAATTTGTCCAAGACAAGAAAAACAACAAAAGTGGTCAAAACCAGTACAGTAGTCGAGGATCTACGAACAATCAAAAGTTCACTTCTTTGCTTTTTTTGATACCCTGCAAGAGCAAGAAGATTGGTTTATTATATATAAATCAGCTATCTAATTATCTCAACTTAAATTAAGACATAAATACTTACTGAGTGGGTTGAGACGCAGCAACTGGGGCAGCGGCGGCTGGTTTTTCTCCAGGACCCTAAACGACAAGACCAAGTCAATATTCTGACATGGAGCTTTATGAATGAAGAAGCAGATTCAAGAATATGATACGTATTGAAGAAAATTTGGTCTACAAGGATGAAGTGATTGAATACCTGGGCTAACCGTTCCTCTCTTCTGGCAAACTTTCTTTCCCTACTAGCCTTGTTCTTTGCTCTCTTTGCCTCAAATTGATCGGATAATGTCTTCTCTCTTGCCTTCTCAGCCTTTGATTTGTGGATGCTCTCCATCAACACACGTTTGTTCTTGAAAACATTACCCTTCACCTTCATGTACATGTCATGGTACATGTGTTTGTCGATCTTTTTGGATTCCCTGTACTTGCGGAGTAATCTCCTCAGGACACGCATCCTCCTCATCCAGAGAATCTTGGTGGGTAATCTAGCCTCCCTGGTACCCTTACGCTTACCTATGTGCAACATACTTAATTGGTGACAAAGGACCATAAAAGCACTTCACTTGAAAATTCAATGATAATTATGATGATATATATATGGGCAAGAAGAAATGCACAGATGCCATAACATATGATCCCCTACTATTATTATGTAAACTTAGAAATCTATTTCCTAAATGATATACAAAATTAATAAAAATATCAAATGATGAATCATATTTACTAAAAGAACAAATATTTAACAACTGCAATACAGTGACAAACATACAGAAAGACAGACAATTCTTCATCTAAAATACAAAGGAGAGCATTCACCTTGATACCATTGTACATATCTGCCTACGCAACTCCATATGCCTTATCGAGTAAAATCTAATAACTATATACCCTTTGTTCTTTAGGCTGGAAAAGCATTTAAAATATAGTTTTATACTTCTTATCTTCAATCTCTATAGAAGGATCCTAATTAGAGCTTCGACATAACTTAATATAGTTTCCATGTCCTGCAAGCAAGACCGGCACTCTGTACGAATATAAGCCTATACTTCACCAATCAAACTAGCAGAACTCGAAAGAAAAATACCGTATCCTGAGTGACGTCCCTTCCTCTTAGCCTCCTTCATTCGGCGAGCACGGGAACGAGAGTGAATCTTTGTTGGTTTCCTGATAATGAACCCATCTTTCACCAACTTCCTAACGTTTTGACCTGCAACCAACAAACGCCCTTCAATTAACCAAAAACAACAAATAGAAAAAAGAAATCGAGCACACATACTAAATGATTTAGACTACGCATCCAGCAAAAAGCAGTATATAGTTGAAAAAGACATCGCAAAAACAATGCGTAGGGAATTAAATAATTTCATGAAACCAAAAAAGTTCAGCCGAATGTTCGTTAACGAATCGTATCCCAATCAAGCAGATCAAAATTAAAACCCAACCCAACTGCTTACGAATACTTACCAAATTAAACAACAAACTCCCTACGATATCTAGCAAACAAGAGCAACTCAATAAACAAGCAGACCAAATTCGAAATCCAACAAGTCCCCAATAAGAAAAGAACCAAACAAAATACAAAGTTCATACTGAAGAGTACAGAGAAAAGGGAACGTACGAGAATTCGCCATAGAGATTTCATTGACTTCATTAGGATCCAGCCAGACCTTCACTCTGCCGCACTTGAGAACACTAGCGGCAAGCCGCTTCTGAAGCTTGAGCGAAACCATTTCTCTAAACCTCCTTTGCGCTGCTGAAATTCCAGAGAATCGCGCGATTAATTCTTGCGATATTTATATACGAACACTAGTGCGGCTCTTGCCCTAAGGCTAGGGTTTTTGATTATTGGACATTTTTGGGCTTCAAAACGACCCATTAAAACTTTTGCGGATCTGAAATACTGGCTTGGGCTTTTACCTTTTGGGCTTCATACGGCCCATTACATCTTTGCGGACCTGAAATACGGGCTTGGGCTTTACCTTAATGGATATTTTGGGCTTCAAAACGGCCTATACAACTTTTGCGGACCAGAAATACGGGCTTGGGCGTTTAACCTTAATGGATATTTTTGGGCTTCAAAACGGCTCAGTACAGGTTTTGTGGACCTGGAATACGGGCTTGGGCGTTTAACCTTAATGGATATGTTTGGGCTTCAAAACGGCCCATTACAGCTTTTGCGGACCTGGAATACGGGCTTGGGCTTTTACGATGTCTGATATTGTTTTGTCACAAGGACTTTGATTAAGTTTTCAAACTAAATATTCTTTTTTTTTTATTATTCTTTATTTATTAAAAATTATTTTTCGAACTTTTTAAAAACAAAACTAAAAGAGAATAAATAAAATTTGAACGTAATTAAAAATATCAAAATTGTTTGCTATTTAATATGGATCCCTATTTTGAATGAGTCCAACAACTTGACCCCTAGTGAAATAAAATTCAATCCTAAAATTTTGAATGAGTAAATACAATTAAAAATAAGGTAATTAAGTTTTTAAAAAATAATAAAGAAGGAAATATTATTGTGGTTTTTGGAACAAATCTACTAGTTGTTGCATTTAAAATTAATAAAAAAAAAATATACAAAATGATATTTTGATGACCATTCAACTTTAATTTCCATTGGCAATAGAAGTAGATAACATGTGTCATTTTTTATTTATTTATTATTATTATGGTAAGTAAACATCATCCCTTGATTCTCTCTGTAGGTTGATAAATGGGATGTAATGGTTGAAACTGATTTTTTTAAAATTTAAATTAATGAAATTACTCTAAATTTTGTACTTCATTCCCAAAAAAGATTCTAAAATTTTAAAGCTTTCCATTTAAATAAAAGTTTCAATAGTCATTAATATTTTGTTTTAAAATCATTCTTGACTTTTTCAAATGTGTTTAAACTTATTTATTAATTTTCAAATTTTTAAATATTTTCTTAAAAATAAAAAAAAATATATTCTTCAAAATCAATGGAATGGGCACTCTTCAGCTTTTAAGAAAAAAATTTAAATTTTTATCTACACTTTGTAGTTAATTTATTGTGAAAGAACCCATTTAAAAATAATTATAGATTGATTAAGGCTGTTTTTTTTTTTAATTTTTAAAATGGGTCTGCAAGAGATTACTTCCACCTATTTATAAAAAAATGTTTTGTTATTCTCTCTAACATCTGAGAGATCTCACAATCCACCCCTTTCATGGTTCAACATCCTAGTTGATATTAGTTTATTTCTTCAATTGATATGGGACCCTTCAATCCACCCTCTTCAACTGAAGAAAAGAACGAAATATTGTTTATAAATATGTGGAAATCTTTCCGTAGCAAATAACTTAAAAATGTAGTCTCAAGATGTAATTTATCTTTGATAAAAAAAAATGGATATATTTTTTTATTGATTTAACTTATATTAAAAAAGAAAAAGAAAAGGAAATGGAAATGGAAATGGCGGTGGGAGAAGAGTGGGGGCAGTACAAAAGTACGACACAGCAGCAGCAGCCAGCGCGAAATCTAAAACATGAAACGTACTAGTTTTGTTTGACACATCACTACCACCGCCCACCGTTTGTCTTGACCATAGTTTTATTCTCTCTGACTCACTCCCCACGATTATAACACTCGTTCCCTTCCGCCGCCATGCAGATTCAACATTCTCCCATTTCCACCCTTCCTTTTTCTTTTAATTACAAAACCAACCCCCGCCCTTTACTCCACGTCGGCCTCCTTTTCTGCCACCTCGGACCAACCCCCCCACTCATTCAACACAGCTTTATTTTTGCTGTTTAACAAACAACACCAAAATGGATTTAAATTCCTCTGAAATGGTTAATTGATATGTTATTATTCCCTCGGGAAATTTGATAATTCATAATACTCGGAATCCATGAACAGGCAGATCTTAGGAGTAGGATTGGATTAGTGTTTAATTTGGTTGTTAGTGAAAGATTATTGCTATCATTTATAAATAAATTTGATTAACGAATCTCTTTGAAAGGGGCTGAAATAATTGAAAACAATTTCATATCAACAAATTGACATCGTTCAAACGCTGAAAATTACACAAACAGATTCTGAAATTAAACAAGAAAACCACAATTTTGAAACACCAAACTCAAGGATCGAAACCGGTTCCAGAATTCACAGAGAAATTCAAGACAAGTTCTTGGATCATCACAAGTCATTCGACGAAACAGAGCCGTGAAGGCCGCCGTCGTCGTCGTCGAAGCTCCACAGATCGCCCACCACCTGTTCTTCCGCCGGATTCGTCACCGTCGACTGTCCGTCCAGGTACGGAATTTGGTAAAACTTCATGAAGTTTTCATATGCCATTAACTCCTCTGAAAGCTTCTGCACCTCGTTCTCTTCCTCTGTAGTGCCAACAATGGCGACCTTCTCCTCCGGCTTCTCCTCCACCTCTTCCACACCGAACTCCACGGCGTTTATGTTCTGATAAACATCTGATCTCTCTGGCGGAGAATAAGAATTCTCCGATCCAGAGGCGGATTGTTCCTCAATCACCGCCGGAATCCGGCTGCCATTGAAATCCTTGGCCATGAAATTACCGATCTGATTCCGATCCCAGCAGAATTCTCCATACACGGAATTTTCAGGAACACTATGCAGATTATTAGCCCTAATTTGAGTGTGAAATTGAGGGTTCGCATTCTGGAGATTACAGCGCGCTTGAATAGAAAACTCATCGTCTTCATTAGGGAAATTAACCTTGGCTTTCTTTCCACGGATCTTCCGAGCTTCACGATCGTAAGCTCGAGCGGCTTCCTCCGCCGTATTGAACGTCCCAAGCCAGACTCGAATCCCCTTCCTCGGATCACGAATCTCAGCCGCCCATTTCCCCCATGGCCGCTGACGAATTCCTCTGTAAAGATTCTTCCTCTGCCTCTTCTTCGGCTTCTCATCTGTCCAAGAAGCCTCTGAAACATCAATTTCTCAAAAATTGGAGGCGAAAAAACGACGGAAGGAACATGAAATTACAAAAAAAAAAAAAGGTCGCGAAATCTTACCGGAAGAACGGAGGGGGCGTTTGACGGGAGAAGCATCGTGATCGGGAGGACATTTGTTAAAATCGAACAAGGGGGAGTTTGGCCAAATGTCGGAGGCGGAAACGCGTTGGCCGTCGCGGCGGGGGATGAAGCCGGCGATGAAGGCACCACCACACATGACTGAAACAGAGAGAAATAGGGATTTGATTGAATTAGAGAAGATTTAGGGTTTAGCGGATGGAGAAAGGAGAAGGGGGGGGAAGGGCGTTTTGTAGGCGCTGGTGGAAGACAGCGGTCACGAAGGCTTAGGAAGCTTCTTGGCTTCACCAACTTGCGTTTGCCTCTGCTCCACGCTTCTTCTCCTAAAATTAAAGCCTTTTTAAATAATTTTAATGAGCTGTTAAATACTTGGAAACTTTATTAATTAAATCACTAATTTTACTAAATTAGTGTATTTAGTGACTGATTAGTAATAATCCTCCCTCCACCATATCATATCTCCTACATGTTTTTAGCAAAACAGTCCGATAAAGTAAAATTAAACGGTAAATTTAGTCTTTACCATTTGAAATTAATTGCAATTTGTGTCTATGTAATTAGTTTTTAGGCTTAATTGTTAATTTACTTATATTATATTGATTAAAAAAATATTTAAGACGGTTAAAAAAACGCCTAAATATTGTTGTAAAGAGCCTTAAATTGAGGGCTAATTATAGTATTTATTAATGAAATTTTGTCTGTGGTTTTTTACTGTGGTAAGTTCAGCGTGGATTTGGTTGAGTTTAAGCCAATTTGACTTTTAATTAGGAGTATAATGCTTATTTATTATTGGGTTTAAGAGTTAATTAATTAGATAAATATTAATTTGATGACATTTTTAAACAAGAGATTAAAATTTCAACTCTAGTTAAACTAAACAAATATAATAATTTATTTTTATTTTGTGAAAATTTTAAATTTTTAAATTTTTAAATTTTAAAATCTCAATTTTATGTTTTGTTTTTTGTTTAATTAATTGTAATTTTTAATTTAGTTTTTTTAATCTAAAAAGTCATTTTAGAGAAAATACAAATGTGGCATTTGCCAACAAAAATGCACACAAATTTTGAAAAAAAAAACAAACAAATTCTAATTTATTCTTTCTCTGCCCATTCCATTTTTTCAAAAATGTAAATAAATGCATTGTTTTCACAATTTTTACTTGAAATACATATTTAAAAGAATATTTTGAGTATTTTATTTTACTTTTATTCATTTTTTTTTTCTATTTTCTTAATTTAAAATTTGAAAAATGAAACGGTTACTGAATACATTTCTATTTTTCTTTCATCATTTAGAAAAGAAATAATTAATAAACTTACTTATCGCATTTTAGGGGGAAAAAATGAAAAATAAAATTAAAGAAAAGAAAATAGAAGGTCACAAATAAGCATTAATAATCTATTTTAAAACAATATTTTCCCCTCAACATATATACTTTACAACAAAATTTTACTTTTTATGGGAATTAAATACTTTTCCTATTCTCACTTTTTTTTTTTTTTTCTGCATTAAATTTAAATACTTTTTCTATTCTCACCGTCCACCCTTTCGATTAATACCGCTCCGTGTCTGGCTCTAATATTATTTGTAACCGTCCAAACCCACTGCCAGTAAATATTATCTACTTTGTCATGTTATATATAAACCCTTTCGATTACAAGCAATTACCTACATTAATTTTTTTTTTTTTTGGTCAGACAAACTATCTCATTAATTCTATACTTTACAAAATTAATTGCGACACTGGAGTAAATGAGTAATATATGAATAAATCAATATCACATCTGAACGAGAACGACCACAAGTATAGAATGACTAATAAATACTTATAATAATTGAAAGTTATTGTCTATATCAACAAAGGTGCACTTTACTTTTCAATAACTCATTTATAAGAACTTCATGATTACGTGTGTTTTGCTTTGAGCAATTATATATTAAGTGATATCTTTCTAACTTTCTTATAATACATGAGAATAAGAACAAAACATGCTGGAAGGAAACAACTTTACGTTAGATGACCTCCTAAAAATTTTCTTATAATACATACGAGTAAAGACAAATCATGCGAAAAGTAAATACGTGACATGATCACGGGTACCGAATTCAAATTTTGAATTACATTAACGCCAATTCATTTTGGTTAGAAAGTTAAAAAGAAGGATTAAAATATTGTCAAGTGTGACAAAGAGGAACCAATCTATAAAGCCGCCTCCAAAGTTTACGTGTTTGTGATCTTTACCATATATTTTAATTTATACACTTATTCTATTTTTATTCATTTATTAAAATTTAGTGTATGACTTTAAAATTAATCTTTCACTCGCAAAAATTATTATTTAAAAACTTTGATGAAAAAAAAATATATAATATATCCCAAACGTTTGAATTATGTTTCAAAACGTTGAAAAATTCTATTTTTATTGTTTAAATTTTCAAATTTGATCAACAAAATTTTAAAATTTATGAAAATAAGATAAATATTGACCTTAAGGTAAGAGTTCAAGGTCATATATGATATTGTTTATACATTATTCTCCTAAATTAATGTGTAAATGATTTTAACGATATTAGATATTGATGTATCAACCATTTTAAATTAAATGAATATATTTTAGTGAGAAGAAATTACCGCCAAAATAGACAAAAAAAAAAAAAAAAAAAAAAAAAAAAAAAAAAAAAAAAAAAAAAAAAAAAAAAAAAAAAAAAAAAAAAAAAAAAAAAAAAAAAAAAAAAAAAAAAAAAAAAAAAAAAAAAAAAAAAAAAAAAAAAAAAAAAAAAAAAAAAAAAAAAAAATCAAAGTAGGGAATTAATCACGATCTAATACAAACCTAATAATAATAATTTAAACTAAATGGAAGAAAACCAAGGAGGCTGTTGTATTAGTAAAAGGTGGGCACATTCCAAATCCCCTTTGGTTGACTTACTTTCTCTTCAACGTGGAAGTACTAACAACCTATACATACATACATACATATATATATATATATATATAATTATATCCTTAGCTTTCCGATTTTGACTAATTAATCTCAGGTATGTTCTATAATCTCACAAACAGCTAAATAATGTGATGAACACATCCCATTAGTGTCACTGATAAATATTAGGTTTAATAAAAAAGAAACGCTTAAATTTTGTACTTTGTCTAAAAATTGTCTCTACAATTTCAAAAGTTCATCGATACTAACAGTAAAGATGTTTTTAAATTAAAAAAGAAATTAGAGGTATTAATAAAAATTTTAAAATTTCACAAAATTTTAAAATCTTTTTAAAATTAAAAGGTATAATTGAAACAGAATTGACAATTTGATAAGATAAATATTTTTTTTTAAGTTTTAAGGATTTTTTTTTTTTTTTATTTTAAAGTTGAAGGTAACACATGCAAATTTCATGAATTTTTAAATTAATTGTCTAAATATTATAAACCATATTATTGTGATGATATAATTCTTTTAGGGGAAAAAAAAAAGGACAACCTTAGCATCTCCAAAATTTAGAAATGTATTTATTTAAGTTATATAATTTATGAACTAAATATATAATTTTGACCTTTGAAAACTTGTCGTAGTCAACGTTTTTTAAGAATCAACGAGATATTTCAGTCATTGATTTGACATTTCTCACAATTTCTCTGTCTACTTTAAGTTTATTCAATTAATATATAGAATGCTTTAATTTAATTGTGTAATTACTTGAAATTAAATTTTTATTTCAAAGTGTATTTTATTTATTTTTTCTTTTAATAAAAAAATATTGTTTCTGTTATAAATTAGAAGCTAACGTTGTATATTTTAATTTAAAATATTAATTTTTAAAAGAAATTTTAATGCTGGGCCGCCGCCATTTCGTTGAGTTTAAAATGCCATTGCATTGGCAAGTTTTTTTTTATTGTTTTTTTATAAAAAAAATCCAAGTTGCAACTTAACTTTAAGCTTTACTTAAAAGGAGCCATTTATATCTTCAAGTATTGGGTTAATTTGGTGATAATTTTGATCTAATCATTAATTAGATATTGATGGTGTGACCACCAACGTCAGGGATGAGGTGTCAATTAAATAGCTAATCAAAGGTTACTAGCACGGGAAATACATTTAGGAATTTTTATATAAACCAAATTTTTACATTTTAATTTTACGTGTTGTTGATGCATAATTTGGATTAAGAAAAATCACGCTTGACCCTACATGCGTCATTCATCAATTACCAATTTTGATGCTTAAAATTGGAGAAAAATGACGCCATAAAAATAATGAAAAATAACTTTAATTTATTTGGGAGAACTTTTATCTTAAGCATTTTTTTCCATTTTCTTATGATCTTTGATCTAATTTGTTAGGTCAAATTTCACCCACAATACTTTTAGGTAAAAAAATATACCCACAATCTTTTTGTTCTAAGTGAGAAAATGAGAAAATCTTAAAATTTTTCTCATATAATATATTAATGATTAATGACATTTCAACCTAATTACTTTCTAGTCTGTTTATCCTAAACAATTCTATATTTAATAAAATAATTATTATAAATTTGAGAAAATATAAGAAAAATACGATACTTAAATAATTTTTACGCGTGTATAAAACTTCTATAAGTAAAAGAACTCATATAAATTCAAAAAAAAATGCAACACACAAATAGATAATAAATATTTTTTTCAATATACTCTTAATTTAAAAAATTACATTATAAGTTTCTTACTACTTTCGGCAAAATTTTAGAGAATGATAATTCTACTCCGAGTAATTAGAACCAGATGAACACTAAAAAAAAAAAAAGTATAAATTTGGAGTTTTAATTGATACAACACAAGATGTTTTCCAAAAATGTGAAGTACCTTTTCTATATTAAAAATGTTAACCACGATTAAATCTGAAACTTACCAAGAATTGAGAATAAAAAGCTTTTAGAAGTTAGAAATAAAAACAATACAAACAATTTCCAACCTGCAATGCGTAGCATTTGCTTATGCTTGAAAATGTATACAAACGCTTAGTAGGAGACCTGAAGAATGGTGGGTAAACTTTGTTATTCTATCCTCAATGGTATCTTTACAGAGTATAATGCCTGCCTTTACCTATTCACTCCTGTTTGTATACACACTGCCCTGAATCCACATACTAAAACTCATTCATTACCAACTTTATTTGGTTTTTTCCACAACATCATGGTACTAACTACCAAAATTCTACCATAAAAATATTATGGAATTTCCGTTTCCTTAGGAACAAAACTTTTAAACTCAAGCCTCCATTTCTCCAATCAAGTAGTTTCCTCATAGGTGTTTTTGGAATTACCCA